CTTCAAATGGGCTGGTGACATTATTGACAACGACGGGCCATTGGTATGTATTCAACTGTAGCTGATCTCCCTTAAAAGTCTCAAGATGTTTTCCAAGAGCATCTTAAAATGAATGCCAAAGTACCTGTCTACTGCTTTTTATAATACAGCAATTGCTACCATCTTTGAGTGCATTTGCATATTCATACTTTTAAGGATCCAAGAGCATTAGGCTTCCTGTCCAACAAAGACCAGTGAAGCTGAATATTGGATCTGTACTGAATTTAGTTTTAAGCTGGAGCATCTCTCCCAAAACAGCATCCAAAATCTTTACCCAGTCTTAGGTGGCAAAGCATTCCTATGTGTATGCCAGACATAGCCAGGCAGTACCGTCACACATGTTCATCTTAATTATTATTATTGTTTACTTTCATGATTGTTGCAATGACCCATGCGACTATTTTACTGTGAATTCTCTTTACATCTTTTTATGGTCTAATGAAATGAACAGGACTCTAAAGCTTGCTCTTTTTTCCTGCCTTTCCCTTCCTTTTCTCCTTTTAAGCAAAGCTTAAAACCATGTGGCACTGCTTTATTGAGTCAGCAATTGCTTAAACTTTTTAAAATTCCATACACTAAGTGAAAAATGAGATTTACGAAACTAATGGAAAATAAATGTCTCCTGAACACGCAATACATTGACTTGCTTCCTTGACTTATCCCATAAAAACAGATGGAAGCAATAGCTACAGTGAATTACGTACTGTATGTCGGGCCCCATGCTGTCCCGTGGCAGCCCCGTACAGGGACAGAGCGTGCCAGTTTGTCACCACGCCGCCCTGGAGGTTGCCATCACTTGCCTGGATCTGGGGGGAACGGGCTATACCCCTGTAGCCGGCTCCCAATCCCTTTTTACACCTACAGCGTACGGGGCGGGCTGTCATCCCACCATGTTTCCAGTGTACCTGCTCCGGTGGGGTCTTTGGCTGCGACTCCCGGGGCACAAAGGGAGTACATATAAATAACGGCAATTTTCTCCCAGCTCAAGGGATTCCGAGCAAGGGGAATTTGGAGGCAACTTTGAAGGCGTAAGCCCATGAAGGGACAGGGCTAATGCGCAGCCTGCAGGAAACCCAAGTGGTTGCTTTCCCAGGAATATGCAATTTTTTTCCACAGCAAACAAGCGTTCCCAGCACCAGTCACCCACCACTCGCGAGCTCTGTTCAACCTTTCTGTCGAACACGTGCCTCTCTCACCGCGCACACAGAAGGAAAACCAATTTGTCCGGGAACAGTGTTTTTGGACTCTGCTTTCCAAAGGCTTGCTAATAAAGCAGCGAGCAAAGAACACGCTATTTTGCTGAATATATGAATCATACCTTGATGGTGCCTCCTTTGAATCACGGCATTCAAAGATCCCCCTGGAGCACTATGTTTTACATTAGAAGAGAGCAGTTATCCCCAGCAGAGATGCAGCACATGTGTCTGGCTGATGGATGGCCATGCTCTAGTGAGAGTCAAAACGTTTAGGAGAAAGAAAAAAAAAAAAAAAAAAAAATTCCCTAGAACCCTTAAGTAGCAGGAGAGTAATTTGAGCATCGTGTTCAATTTGCTGGCTACCAACAACAGCAAGATTGGGCACCTTCCACAAGGGCTTTACAGCAACATCCTTTTCCCCGTGGCAGAGTCCCGTCCCACCCGTGCTGCCCACACGCCTGTCACGGGTGACAAGGGAACGTGTCCCACTGAAGTCGAGGGTAGTGTTCTGGCAGAAACAGCATCAGGCCTTGGATCAAGGGAGATGAATGGAGCCTGGTAAAAAATTCACTGTTATACAATCCTTCTAGTAGGAAATATGAAGCAATACTCACGTATCTTATCCTTTATTAACACGTTTGAAGCAAAAAAAAAAAAGGCTTCTGGCTTATAAACTGGTCATTAAAAAAAAAACAAACAACGGTAGCAATTTAAAGTACTATATATTCTGTTTAAACATTATTTAGTACTTCACCCAGTGCCTCCCAGCCCCTCTACAAAGCAAATTCCTTCTGCAGCCTACAGACAACCGCTTTGCAGCCAGTTTTGGTTTTATCGGACACCCCAACGGGGGACAGCGTGGTCTCAGCACCGGGGCTGGGCTTCCCGAAACGGCCCTGTTCCCAGGGCTCCGCAGAAAATCACTTCCCCCATTTCCCCATGTGAGGAAGAATACTTACCCTTCCCGCAGAGTCCGTCAAGACCGACCGAAGATAAGTGCATTACCTGAGCAACACACTGCGGGGAACAAGACCTTTGCATTTGATCGCCCTCGAGTGCCAAGATGACCGGGGCTATGGTGACATCCGCTTCTGAGAGATTCCTGGAAATGATGAAGCTTAAATCCCTACTTAGTTTAGAAAAACCAATCAAATCAACCATTGAATAAAAATTCTTGCATGTAAGTTCACTCTCATCCTGCAGCATCTGCATGGGGCGGATGCCAGATGCTCAGCGCTGAGAGCAGGCTACGCTGCAAGGGCTCATTGCATTAGAAAAAAAAAAAATATATATATATGTAAAATCAGGCTTAAATTTATCCAGGAGACAAACCCTAAGGCCAGCACAAGGATTCTGACTAATGAGGGCTACCTAAGCTCGCCTGTGTGACCTTTATAGTGCATCAGCCCTGTGTTGTGGGATCATCAGCTTGAACAAAAATGTTTAAAAGTGTTTTAAAACGTTTTAAAATTAAAGGTATCATCAGCCCTGGTCTCCCGTTCCCCAGTCAGGATCACTTCACACAGAGGGACTACATTACTTCTTTAGCTCACGTGCTATTTTTGTCTTTTGCCAAATCTAAAAACAAACAAACAAAAAACCCCAAAAAAACAAACAAAAACCCCCCACGATTTTCAACTTTTGCAGCAAAAGCTGAGCAGGGAGAGGGCTAGTGCAAAACAAATTTAGCAGGCGGCAGCACGGGAACCCGAAGGAAACGGCGTATTTCTCACAACTAGAGCTGGCTGCAAGTCACCACGATTTTCACTAAAAATGTTTTTCAAGGAAGTTTTCCACTCAGGCTGTGAATCTCTTTGGCCAGAGTAAAATGCAGTCAACGCATAAATGAGTTGACAAGTCGTTCTCTGCACATACTAAGTTGCTTTTATTAATCCAGAACTGCATGCTACAGATACTGTACAGCATGAACATTTATTCATTACAAAAAATGGCTTCCAAACCATTAAAAATGAAAATCGGAATAAGAGCATAAAACGGAACAGTAACATCACAACTGTTAGGAAACATTCAAAGTATTCACAAAAAATGTTATAGTTAGCATCTTAATAAACCAGAGAAAAATCTGAGACAGTTTTACAATCGCTTCATGTCAACTACAATGGCACTGAATGAACAGATGAACAATTTTTCAGCTTTATACAGCGTTTTTTGCAACATCAACATGCCTAGGTTTTTTTTTTTTTTGTTTTAAGTTTGCTACCTACCTGTATGTAGTAAGTGTACATAAAAGTGGCAGTCTGATTTTCCTTTTATGAATAATCTAATATACAGAATTTGGCCCTTAAGGGTTTATACCTCTTCATTTTAAATGCTTTCCGGACAATCTGCTACCAAACACGTCTGTTATAGGTGACATTAAAACTACATACATATCTACCTATGTAACATCACAGCAAAACATGATGAACAAAAAAATTACAGCATTAATAAAAAAATAATAAAGTTGTCGGGAGAAAGTTAAAAGTCACTGAGAATTTTGGCACATAAAAATTTTGCACACAGCCTACAGTCCTAATGTCGCAGGGGATTCAGCTGCAGTTCTGAACGGGAGACACTTGGACTTTGCTATTTTTCAAACAGCGTTGCTAAAAATTCCCTTGCTAAATTTTCAAGTCTTTTTGTGTGTAATGGCTTTTAAAGCAATTTTTTATTTTTTATTTTTTTACACTATTGATCCTTGAAAAAAATGCATCTGCGAATGTCCATTTGGTGGCAACTGTGTTTCATATAGCAAAAAAAAAAAAAAAAAAAAATCACAAAAGGAAATCAAAAACAAAAATCCCGGAAAAAATATATATATACACATTTATATATAAACTTAAAAACCTTGTACAAATGAGTTGTTATATATAAGATGCTTACACTAAGGGAAAAAAAAAACCTTTATACAATGTTTAAAGAAAAAAAGAGAAAAAAACATTTAAAAAGGGACAACATACAGATACAACAAGCAATTTCTAAAGCAATAAATACTACTGGTCCAATAGCGTTGTGATACTTTTAATTGTTGAGTAGCGTTCCCTCCCCCAAAAAGAACAACACCATGGAACAAGGTATATTAACACATTTTTTTTTAACCCTTTGTTTCTGTACATTTAAACAATAACAAGTAACATCACAATAAAGGTTGTTTCACACAAGGAAGAAAAAAAAAAAGAAGTTGTAGCGGCACCGCATTCGTTGTGCCCTTAAAGGTTTAAAAACCAGATGTAAAATGATTGGTTCGCAAGCTCGTATTTAATACAAATAATAAAGAACCAATGCCTCCGGCAAGGGCTGCTTCAAAATTGCTTCTTTTTTTTTTTTTAATTTTTAAAATCAGTCTTTAAAACTAAGCTATTGGAACTACATAACAATTATGTATATATATATATTTTTTAAACGCTACAAAGACTTTAAACAGCTGTTGATAAAAATTTTGGCAGAATCATGAGGCTTTTCTCATCTACATATTTAAAAAGGAGAAATTGAAATAAGAATGGGTCAAATATTGACCAATGAACTCGATAAAACATCAACTAATGTAGCCACGTGGCACAAATTAAAAACAAAACCGAGAAACGACGACGAACAGCGGACGACGACGAGGAGGAGAAGGCAAAAAAAAAATAAAAGTAATTAAAGAAAAGGAAAAAAAAAACAAACCAAAAAACAACCAACAAACAACCCAAACCAAACCCAACCCCAAATCCCAACAGAATTCAACATCCCCGAAGGAAACCGAAAGGGCTAACGAGGCTAAAGCTATTCTAAGGACTTGGTTACGAGGGAGAGCGGCTGGGGCTGTGTCCCCGCCAGCGAGCTGTGG